ATTGTGTGACTGAGTGCAGAGAGCTCCCTGTTGAGTGTAAGGTTAACCAAAGGTCAGTCATTCTGATAATGTACGTCTTACGATGATGTCACTTTTAATATTAGCTCTGCAAATAATGATACAACTTGACAAGTGGTCTTCACAATAGCACAGTAAAAATTGCATGCTAAGTTTTTTATTTGAGAAATTAAGTTGATTGAAATTGTTAGTAACATAACGTACTTGTCTAGTGTATTTGGCAACATTATGCACTTTATGACATATTTTTATTCTTAACCTTTTACTTACCAATCATCTCAGTGGAACACTAGTAGTAGTTGGTAACACACAACTCTATGTATTGCAAGCTTATTTTTTTATTTGAGAAATAAAGTTGGTTGAAATTGATTTTGAACTGCTTTATTATTGTTCCCCCCCAAAATGCAAATGTCTCACAAAATTAATGTGCATGGGACACATTGTCTCCTCACAAAAAAATCCTGGCTGCAACACTGAAGTAAGCATAAGTAGCCAGTGTATACATGAAATTTGTGAGAGTACTATTTTGATTTACGCAAGATAAATGCCAGGATCGGCCACAATTGTATTTAATAGTAATAGAGATGCAACTCTGATCTTGGTTTTGTCTTGTCCACATAGAGACCTATTTACATACATGCTGTCTATCATCATTTTCTTTGGACCGCTTTTGTATTGTGTAGAAAGAACAGTCAAATATATTTTAATACATGCCATTTCAACAGCATTTAAACATGGCAACAACCAACTCACTAAACAAAAACTAACAAAAAAAACTGGATGAATTGACATTTGAATGGAACTTACTTTGATACTATAAAGTAGCACTTTATACTGTACTTGTGCCCAAACTCACCTAAGGTTTTATCAGATAACTTATCTTTGTTATTTCAGGAATTGCCGGTGTGGTTGTCGGCCATCCCTTTGATACAGTTAAGGTACGTGCTTATTATCTCAACCACTTGTATCCAATAAAAAAACAATATTCCGTCTGTGAATGTATCGCTTTGAATTGTTATCTATCTATTATGTGGGATGGTTCAATAGGCGGTGTAGAGGATAGTGACACATTTTGGCTTACATACATGTATGGGTCACTCTTGAAATAAAAGTGACAATTGATTCATGCCAAAAAAATGTTTGATACAAGGAAATTTCAATTATGTTTACATATATTATGTAATGCCTGCATGATAGCCCTAGCCACATGTGTCAATCGTATTCAAATTTACATAAATATGTTGCTTTGTGAAGTGTGGAATCCATAAAAAACGCACACGGCCACAATGACCAATATCCTCCATCTGGCTGTGGTGTTACATGACTCATCAGTGTCTTTCATATTCAACTCTAATGGTTTAAACAAAATCATTTTGAACTTCTAAAAAAAACCATGACAATGAAGAAATACTAATACAGAAAATAGGAAATATTAAAAGCAAACACAATATGTATTAATTTGAGAGAACTCCCATTTTTCAGGACAAAATGGACTTACACATAAGACATCAAGCTTAATAATGTGAGCAGTTTGAATGTTTAATAATGTCATGAGAATATCATAGTCATAAGTGTTTATTTATATTATAAATTATGATAATAATGTGTAGCTTGGCATGTATAGAGATGCAGTCACCTTCACACAGTTTATAATATATCTCATTGATATCCATAGGTTTCCCGTAGATCATTATTATAAAAATTGATGAAAAATCATGCTGCTGTAAGTTCCATACATACATAGTGACATGAATTGTCTAAATTCCATCCTTTATGTCCTTCTTATTTTATTTATATATATTTATATTTTTTATTTTAATTTATCTTTTTATCTAGATGATAATATAATAAGAAAATTATGATGTATGTATATGTATTACATATTCACAGAATTCCTGCATTAAGTGCTTTTAATGGTATGACCTTCAATGACCTTAAAAATACAATTCTGTCATGAGAGTGATTGATTCATTTATAATTCCATTAAATTTATATCTACAGGTAGTGAAATTTTGGCTTTATAAATAACATGTAATAAATAATTGTCATACAGATGGTATTTCTGTAGTATTTGTAAAAAAGTACTGGTGGCAAAAGACAGATACTTACTGGCTTATAGACAGATAAAGTACCCCAGACCATTCGTCCCGGTGTTATCGCTATCGCCACACGAGACTCCAGCTTGTCTCCTATACAATTTGACTGCGCACATCCAGAAAGTAGATGTAGCTGTGATTGGTGGAATACTAATGAGTTGAGTGTCAATCAAACGCCCACGCTATCTTTAGTAAACAAAGTCACGTGACACGCGCCATTTTAGTTTTGGCAGGCGATTTCAAGGCAGCACGCTTAACCCTTTCGTTCACAGGTTGGGAGATATTAGAATGACTGACAATTTCATGCCACTGTTTTACATTATTGGCGGATTTTTCTGCGCTATCTATCTTTCTCTTACAAACTAGACATAGATGAGACGACAGAGTCGCTCCTTTCACAACGTCGCACTGAATCAAATTGGAAAGACGATTTCCATAAGTTATCCCTCCTGCTTTTCCTGGCTTGAATAAATTCACACACGACTTTAACTGTCCACAAACTCGAAGACTACACGAACACAGTCTACAATAGTCGTCCGCAACAATATGTATGTATTTCTTCGGTGTACTGATGCACGAATGCACCGTGACACGGTGTTTCTCGGGTATCGCCATCGCTGAGAATGCCGCCGGCGCAATTTTTCACCCAACTCGCGATTCTGTTTTGCAACATTTTATCAATATTCCCTTTGACAAAATCGCCGACAAAAGCACCGCTTTGCTGATCTTTTGTTCTATAATTCTTAATGCAAACACCGACCCTAGTAGTAATTAGTAACGTCGCCTAGTACATATGAACGGTCGTCATTGCAAATCGAACATCCTTTTGAAATTTGGACGTCGGGCAGGCGATTTCAAGGCACCGCACTTAAATATTAGCAACATATTTTTCTGAGCGGTTGTTTATTCTCTTTCAAACGAGACATAAATGTGACGACATAGTCGAT